TTGATAGTTAAAGAACTGTTTACAAGATTTAACAGCGACTTGCAGAAAATGAGTGATTTCTTACCTAAAGTCCTTGAGGCCACTGTCCTCTGTTACACCGGTGACTGTTCAATGTGTGCGGCGTACTCGCTTGTGTGTGATGGTGGGTGCGTTTCCAACTGGTGGAACTTCAGCCGCAATTTGGCCGTCTATAAGATCACCGCCCTGCAAATGAGTGAAAATGACATTAAAATTGTGACAGAAATCCTTAAAATGAAACTGAGTGTAGAAGCCATCAACGCCATGAAGCTGCTGACTGACACAAATGCCAATGAATCTTACCACCGCAGTGCCAGTTGCAACATGCCCAAGAACGTTAAGTTCTCTCGAACAATGGAGGGTCGTCTACATTCCATGATACACAGACGGAACAACTTACCTGGTACTTCGACGAGACTGAAATGCGAATCTGCTGGAATACAGTACTCGGAACAGGGAAAGCGACAACTACACAGACTAGACCAGAAGTTCCTCTACAATCAAGCCTATCAGAGAAAAGAGAGAGTAAAGAGTAGAAGAAACAGACAGCTGGCCAGGAAAATGGCAGAGCATCACCAGTACCGCGAGGAACAAAGAGGAACTTCAGATTACCGTAAAGGTCAACTTGACTTCCACTCACCTGCTGCCCGTGATCACCCATATCACAAGAATGGAGGATTACGATACAATCTAAGGCCACGTCATGGAAGAGAGTGACTCGCTATGAACTTTGTAAAATAATAAGTTACATGAAAATGACATTAATAATTACCTTTTAACTTTTTCATTGACAAATACTTACTAACTAACTTTGTGAGGAGTGATGCATGCCTCTCCCATCTTCAGCGGTGTAACATAATAATAAATGTGATAAACTTACCTAGATTGTTAATCGTCATTCATACGCAGCTCAAGGCGACAGGGTGGATATGGCGGTGGGTGCCCCAGACAGGTGCCCCCAGATTTGCAGGTCTGTCGCTGGTTGTTGACGCCCTGCGGCTCCAGAACAATATGTTCTGGAACAACACACAGCGTGTTGTGGCATAAGTGAGATGCAACAACTGATGCATCCAACTCATGGTAACGATGATGTAACATGACACTGAGTCTATGCACATGCATCGTCTGCCACCTGTTCTTTATCGGATGCTTGTAGCATACAACACCATACTTGTTGTTGCTGCTCCTAGCCCCCGTCCAAATGCGACACTGACCATTCAATCCAGGGGCAGAGCCCGAGTTTACCTTGGCAACATACTTAGTAAAAAATGCATTCATGGTTAATCTTCGAGAAATAAAGTGAAAGTTAGCAGACGAACTACTAGACCGAGGCCAAAACTCACGTCAATCATATCACGCCGCATCTCATTTGCATAAAGTAGGTCAAACAGTTAATAGTAAAGGAAACACACCCCCCCCCCCTTTTTCATATTTTTTCCCCAAATATTTTTCAAAATCAGAATTTTGTTTAAAATTTTGTCATCATTAATCAATATTAATCCCATAGTATACAAAAATGGCCGTAAAGATGATTAACGTGAGTTTTTACCTTTGACCTGATAGGACACGGACTACCAATTATTTTGCTATACATTCCTTTATAACATAAAAAATCATTAAAAAAAATTCACCGCCTCAACTCACCTGAAATTTGGCACAGAGCTAGATCCATCCAAGGCCAAAAATATTCTCAAATCTCAGAAAATTCTATAGTCTACAAGCCTTGCTATGGCACTGCAATTAACCCCTACCCTGCATATTTCCACTTCCCTTTGAGAAACAGGTAAACAATGGCCTCTTTACACCCTTCCTACTACGCACTTAATAGCAAAATTCCCATTATTCTTAATTTTATAATTTTTTTCAGACCCTCTCCTTTCCATCTATGCCCTAAAATAACCCCATTCCACCCCATATACACCCCCAAGATTTTTTAAGAAAAAACCTCTATTTTTAATCTGGAACTCTTTGCGTGGTCAATGAAATAGGGGTAAAATTAGTATCCTGTAACCTAATAAAGACACTAACCTTCTTTGATTTTGATGAAAATTGGCACAGAATCTTCTAAAGCCATACTACACACCCCTCTGAAGTCTCATTGGATTTGTCATCTGAACAGCAGAGTTATGGCCCTTTTCAGTGATGACTGGATCTCCTGAAAACAGAGGATGAAATGAGCATCAGACACACAATGCACAAATTTGAAATACTCACATATCACATATGTTACAATAAATTTCTTACCAATTATTTTTTTCTATGATTTTAATATCCCCTCTACTTAATTCTGATAACAACTTTGATCAATTATGCAGATAAATATTCTTAAGATTTTTTTGAAAAAATACCCCCAAATATGGTGAAATTTCTTAAAAACTGCCCTATATAAAATATTAATCAATAGAAATTTACAAAATAAAAATTATTAAAAAATTCTACATTATATTGGCTATAAAAAAACAATAGTAAAAGATAATAAAAAGAGATTAATCCCTTTGTTGTGAGCAGATAAGCAAACATGACCACAGCAGCCAATATCAGGAAGTGGCACTTACAGTCATGCTGGATTATCCCTGGTCACATTAAAAATGTCATGGATATATACAAGATGCCATCCTAAGAATAATCAAACATTAAGCACTATAAATATGGCTGAAATAAGAGAAACCAAGGCATCATTGCCTGAATCTGCAAGAATAAGTAGTATTCTACTCACCATCATGTTTAAGAAAAATATGGTTCCCTGGAACAAAGGGAAGCAACTCTGCAAGAGGAAGCTCCCAAGGCAAGGAGGATTTCATCAAGGAAATAGCCACGGCTTCAAGACGGAAAAACAGCCAAATTCTGGTCGAAGGTCATTTGTCAGGCTGAATTCAACAGATCATGCCCTGGTCACCAAACCAAGTCTCGACAGCCATTCATACCAAACTCCGGACTGCGACGGTGAGAGCGGATCAACCTGCATTCTGCGGCCACGTCCATCAAACTGCAAAAAACAAACACCAAAGAGTAGCGAATACTTAGGCGGTCGACGTATAGTGGACGAAGAGAAGATGATGGAGATGATTAATCAAACCATACAACTTCACCAGTCTACCACTTGTACCGCACCGAACATTACTGTGCAGTACTCAAAAAAAGTAGGAATTTCCTGGAAATACTCACTGACTTGTGTTAATTGCCAGTTCAACTCACCCGAGTTTGCCCTATTCCAAGAAATTCATCAAGGGGGTCCTGGACGCAAAGCATCAGCATCAAACATGGCCCTGGCATATGCCCTTCAGGACACTTCACTAGGAGCTGAGAAGGTTATAGAATTCCTTAGCTGCATGGACATCCCACCTCCCACTAAGGCCTCTCTCCAGAAGCTCCTGTTCAAAATAAGTAAAAATATTACAAAGCTAAACAAAGAAGATATGCATCAGAAGATACAGAAAGTAAAACAGATCAACAGGACCCGAGGCCATCCAGCGGATGTCATAAACATCTCAACAGATGCCCGTTACAACAGTAACATCATGTTCAGCCGTAAGACTCCCGGACAGAATGCCAGTCAAGCCTTCTCATTGGCCGTTGAAACCAACACTGACAGAAAATACATACTTGCCTGTGCTCTGCAAAATAAACTCTGCTGGACAGGTGCATGGCTAAGGGGCAAGGGAATGGAAGTGGATTGTCCAGGTGGCCATCCTGAGTGTACCTCCAATCTACCACGGGCAGCACCATTTTCCGAGTACGAGATGGGGAAGGACATCGGCACACAGCTCGCACTACAAGATGTATTAGTCCGGTATGTTACCACAGACGGCGACGCCCAAGGTGCCAAAGGAGTGGACGAAGCCATGCGAGCTCTACATCCCCTATGGAAAGTAGAGCGTCTTGCTGACCCCGTCCACCTTGGGCAGTCACAGTTCCGTGCCAGCAACCGAGCAGTTTACAGTGATGCAATGTTCTATACTAAGACTAAAGAACAGAAGAAAGAGCTTCAGAGGGTGTTCAGCAATGATCTAAAGTCAAGATGTGCTTTGATAGTTAAAGAACTGTTTACAAGATTTAACAGCGACTTGCAGAAAATGAGTGATTTCTTACCTAAAGTCCTTGAGGCCACTGTCCTCTGTTACACCGGTGACTGTTCAATGTGTGCGGCGTACTCGCTTGTGTGTGATGGTGGGTGCGTTTCCAACTGGTGGAACTTCAGCCGCAATTTGGCCGTCTATAAGATCACCGCCCTGCAAATGAGTGAAAATGACATTAAAATTGTGACAGAAATCCTTAAAATGAAACTGAGTGTAGAAGCCATCAACGCCATGAAGCTGCTGACTGACACAAATGCCAATGAATCTTACCACCGCAGTGCCAGTTGCAACATGCCCAAGAACGTTAAGTTCTCTCGAACAATGGAGGGTCGTCTACATTCCATGATACACAGACGGAACAACTTACCTGGTACTTCGACGAGACTGAAATGCGAATCTGCTGGAATACAGTACTCGGAACAGGGAAAGCGACAACTACACAGACTAGACCAGAAGTTCCTCTACAATCAAGCCTATCAGAGAAAAGAGAGAGTAAAGAGTAGAAGAAACAGACAGCTGGCCAGGAAAATGGCAGAGCATCACCAGTACCGCGAGGAACAAAGAGGAACTTCAGATTACCGTAAAGGTCAACTTGACTTCCACTCACCTGCTGCCCGTGATCACCCATATCACAAGAATGGAGGATTACGATACAATCTAAGGCCACGTCATGGAAGAGAGTGACTCGCTATGAACTTTGTAAAATAATAAGTTACATGAAAATGACATTAATAATTACCTTTTAACTTTTTCATTGACAAATACTTACTAACTAACTTTGTGAGGAGTGATGCATGCCTCTCCCATCTTCAGCGGTGTAACATAATAATAAATGTGATAAACTTACCTAGATTGTTAATCGTCATTCATACGCAGCTCAAGGCGACAGGGTGGATATGGCGGTGGGTGCCCCAGACAGGTGCCCCCAGATTTGCAGGTCTGTCGCTGGTTGTTGACGCCCTGCGGCTCCAGAACAATATGTTCTGGAACAACACACAGCGTGTTGTGGCATAAGTGAGATGCAACAACTGATGCATCCAACTCATGGTAACGATGATGTAACATGACACTGAGTCTATGCACATGCATCGTCTGCCACCTGTTCTTTATCGGATGCTTGTAGCATACAACACCATACTTGTTGTTGCTGCTCCTAGCCCCCGTCCAAATGCGACACTGACCATTCAATCCAGGGGCAGAGCCCGAGTTTACCTTGGCAACATACTTAGTAAAAAATGCATTCATGGTTAATCTTCGAGAAATAAAGTGAAAGTTAGCAGACGAACTACTAGACCGAGGCCAAAACTCACGTCAATCATATCACGCCGCATCTCATTTGCATAAAGTAGGTCAAACAGTTAATAGTAAAGGAAACACACCCCCCCCCCCTTTTTCATATTTTTTCCCCAAATATTTTTCAAAATCAGAATTTTGTTTAAAATTTTGTCATCATTAATCAATATTAATCCCATAGTATACAAAAATGGCCGTAAAGATGATTAACGTGAGTTTTTACCTTTGACCTGATAGGACACGGACTACCAATTATTTTGCTATACATTCCTTTATAACATAAAAAATCATTAAAAAAAATTCACCGCCTCAACTCACCTGAAATTTGGCACAGAGCTAGATCCATCCAAGGCCAAAAATATTCTCAAATCTCAGAAAATTCTATAGTCTACAAGCCTTGCTATGGCACTGCAATTAACCCCTACCCTGCATATTTCCACTTCCCTTTGAGAAACAGGTAAACAATGGCCTCTTTACACCCTTCCTACTACGCACTTAATAGCAAAATTCCCATTATTCTAAATTTTATACATTTTTTTTTCAGACCCTCTCCTTTCCATCTATGCCCTAAAATAACCCCATTCCACCCCATATACACCCCCAAGATTTTTTAAGAAAAAACCTCTATTTTTAATCTGGAACTCTTTGCGTGGTCAATGAAATAGGGGTAAAATTAGTATCCTGTAACCAATTACGTTATATTGATGTATAAAACCAAATGAAAGGGCAAGCAACTCTATAGGTATGTATATTAAGAATAATGAGGCTCGAATAATAGAAGACTAATATAAAAGTAAAATTAAGACATTTCATTGAAATCATTCAAACAATAATATTTATTTTCAATTTGTTAATGAACAACAATTAGGTCATGTATGTTTTAGAAAGAGGAAATTCAAGTTTGTTTCTTTCGTATGAAAGAAGTATTTACATACAACCAATTACTGACATATTTGACAATGCATGTATGTTAATTGATAAAAGCATCATCCAAAAAGCATACAAAAGACAAATTTAAAAGTATACTAGTACACAATAAATAGGCCAAAGTTTTCCTAAAATTTAAATTTTAACTCAAGTTGAAACTGATTTTTTGTTTTAAAATACACACGTCAGGTATTACATGCTACACTTTAAGTTATATTTATAGAAAAAGTATGATTTAATTTTAACAAAAAATCAACAGAAAATCAACAGAATGATTGAAATGGATCTCAGAATTATATGTGTCAAAAAAGAAAATTGAACAGATGGTTTCAGATTTTTTGGGGGACACGGACTAACAAAATTTCATTGGCAAAAAAACTACAAGATTCAGTAGATGTCACCATATTTGACATTTAATATGACCTTGACATTCATTGTATACAAAAAAAGCAGTCTTCTTATATATATGTGCAATAATATCAGCCCTTTACTATCTATGGATCAAATGTTAAGACTGCATGGATTTATTTTCACTTTTCAGCATAAAGAAAGTTTTAAAGGTAGGCTCCGAAGTGACCAATACATAGGATGTCTCTGATTTTTTAAACATGCAAATATGATATGAAAACATTTCACTAATTGTTATATTTCTTACAAAAATCATTGACAAGATCGGGATAAATTGTTATATATTTTTCTTACAAAGTTAATTTAAAGTATGTGTTATGTACTACCATAATACTACATAATACAGCATTTCTAAATTAGCTTAACTGCCACTAAACAACTGTTAATATGTTAATCTCACAAAGAAAGAAAAAAAATCAGTCATGTGCATAAAGCATAATTATATATACAGAAGTCTAGGACCATATGGAAATCTGTAACAATGCAATGAACTTCTTAAAAAAGCTTTTAATCATATGTTCCACCTCGTACCTTTAAGTTAAATTAGATCTATGGTTTAAATTATGATGATCGATATATAGCACAGTAAATACTAAATAAGACATTGAAAAAAGAGGTTAATTTATCATGTATATATGCACATATTGCCTACAACAAATTCATTTGATACATTACATATTCTGAAATGTACAAACTTTTAATTCTTATAAAATTATATGCATGATTGCTACAGGAAATAAAAGTGACATAAATGTTTTTATGTATAAACCTGTAAACTAAATTTCATCAAGCTTAATTATTTTCTTGTCGCAGTTTCCTCAGCAACTACTCATTGCAGATTATGAAATTTTAGCAGACGCTTTGTTAAGGCATGCTGTATGGTGCAATTCATTTTTGTAAGAATCCAATGTCAACTTCCTGTTTAACCATTGGTTGAATTTTTGTTGCAGTTTTTTCAGCAAGTACTCATCGCAGATGTTTCAAATTTTAGCACACTCTTTCTTTCAGCAAGTCATATGGTGGGATTCTTGCCTTACATTTGACATGGTGGGATTAATTTTGTATGAATTCAATGTCAACATGAGAAGGTATATTCACATCAGAGCTGGGGTGTTACAGGTAAGAAATCGCTGAAAGATTTTTTGTTGATTTAGATGAATGGTGTAGCCATTGTTTCTAAAAGTAAAGATTTCCTTTAAAATCCTTTGAAATGCTTCTCCTCCTACAGTTTTTGTTTGATTTCAATATAATTTGAGACACAAGTAGACTATACACAGTGATATACAATTTAGTATATTGGTTTTTGATTTTGATGGACTCAATTTAATCATCATCATCATCAAAATCACTGTCAGACAAACTATTCAGTTCAAAATTTTCATTTTGCAGGAATAGCTGCAGTATTTCCTGGATATCCTCATCTTCATTGAGAACTGCATTTGTAAACTCTCGTTCAAATTCTTTGACGTTGGGAAGATAAGGTGTAAAAATTTGCTGCAGTCTCACAATCTGTTGTTCAACAAATATAGCCTCCTTTAAAAGCATAGACTGTTCTCCAGGTGTTGGCAACCGTTTTAAGTGATCTTTGATGATTTGATGCATGTTCACGAAATAAGTTATCATTGATGACATTTCTGCCTGCAACATAACTTTTTCTTCTTCACACCTTTGTACAAAGGTGTAGGAATGGATAATATCCTGTTTTTGCTGTTGTGGCATGGAAGGGTCAAAGTCATCCTCTGAAGCGAATACGGCATTAGATGGCAGGTTTACCATGTCAAATGACAGGTGAGACGAACTGTTGACAGTGTTATATGCTAAGATTTCTTTATGAATCTTCTTGTTTAATGTTTTCAGTTGTCTTTCTATTTTGCTTGCAATGGACTGCCCTCCTATCAAACAAGAAGTAATAATAATGTGTAAATTAATTAAAGCAACTAAAAGACAATTTGAAAGTTTTGGTGTATAATCATTGTAAATGATTTAAAGGGAGCTTAGGACAAAGGTATTAAATCATGAATAAATATATTTTTAGTTTAGTTGCTTACTTGCATATTTCTTTATTAAATTAAGCAGATAAAGACGCTCTTTTGCCATCTGGTGCAAAGAATTGAGATGGATTGATGCTTGTTTTTTCTTCCCACTTTTCAAGAGGTCTTGGAACAAAGCATTGGCAGTATTCCACCTGCAAGATATGCCAATCTTCTTCTCCAGGTGAGCAAGTTCTTTATCAATCCTTGAAAATTATAAATAAGGATATAAGTAAGCCACCCTATTTGACATGAAAGGCATAAGATCAAAAGAAAATATATCCTTGTTTCCTGTCCTCTGACCAAAAATAGGGTAGGTAGGTAGGGAGTTGGGGATAAGAGATGGGTACCCTAAAGCGTAAAAAACGGACGGACAGACGAACGGAATTAACAATCACTATATACCCTCCTGCTTTTCTAGCGGGGGTATAAAAAACATGAATAAAAGTATAGTAATTCAAATGTTTTGCTAAAAGGGCATAAAAAATTCAATGTTTGGCTGCTAAGTGAGATGTTGGAGTGGTTGATGAGATATTGGACCGCTTACATCACAGAATGGGTGGAGCTTATTCTCATTCTCATTTGTTGGTGTTCAGCAGTGACATACCTGATGTGTTACATCAGGGAAGACGGTACAAAATTAAAAAGAAATGGTATAACAGAACATTTTTTGAATATGTTCTCAGGCAAAAATGGTTTATCAATTTTCGAACCAAACAGTCTGCCTTGGGCCTAACAGCCTCGGGCAAACAGTTCAGTTCTTTGGTCCGACAAAAAGATGTTGCCCTAAAGTAGGTCAATAAATGTATATTATTAACAGTTTAGAAAGCAAGTTAATTTGTTATTACAGATTTATAAAGTAAAGGTATCCTGTACACTTGTGGATGTATTTTCTAGATTCTTTAAAATGATAACATTGATCATATACTTTTTAGCTCACCTGAGCTGAAAGCTCAAGTGAGCTATTCTGATCACCCGGTGTCCGTCGTCCGTCCGTCCGTCCGTCCGTCTGTAAACTTTTCACATTTTCAACTTCTTCTCAAGAACCACTGGTCCAATTTTAACCAAACTTGGTACAAAGCATCCTTGGGTGAAGGGGAATTTAAATTGTTACAATCAAGGGCCAAGACCCCTTCCAAGGGGAGATAATCAAGAAAATACGAAAATAGGGTGGGGTCATTAAAAAATCTTCTTCTCAAGAACCACTGGGCCAGAAAAGCTGAAATTTATGTGGAAGCATCCTGGGGTAGTGTAGATTTTAAATTGTTAAAATCATGACCCCCGGGGGTAGGGCGGGGCCACAATAGGGAATCCAAGTTTTACATAGAAATATATAGAACAAATCTTTAAAAATCTTCTTCTCAAGAACCACTGGACCAGAAAAGCTGAAACTTATGTGGAAGCATCCTGGGGTAGTGTAGATATTAAATTGTAAAAATCATGACCCCCGGGGGTAGGGCGGGGCCACAATAGTGAATCCAAGTTTTACCTAGAAATATATAGAATAAATCTTTAAAAATCTTCTTCTCAAGAACCACTTGGCCAGGAAAGCTGAAACTTATGTGGGAGCATCCTTGGGTAGTGTAG